CAACACGAAAAATTAAAATTAAAGAAACAAATTATAAAATCAAAAAAAAAAAACATCAAAAATGTGAACGCTTTAATTCAATATACATAAATAACGCTAAAAGTTCAAGTTATCAGACACACTGCAGTCTTTGAGAACCAGTTCAGTTCGCACTGTTGTCAACCAGCTGGCAAAGCACCTGCGCGTTTGTTCTAAATATTATTTTTTTATAGATAAATTTAATTTTTTTTTACAATTGCCACAATTAACCACTCCATTGAATTGTGAATGAATACATAAATATGCATGAGCGCTAAATGAAGTTGACTGAGAATTGCGTTGAGACATGTGAAAATCGCCAGCTTGACGGTCAGAGCAGACTTTGTACAAATCATTGATATTTACGCGCCACTTTTTCTTATATTGAGAAGCTGAACACATAATTACATATATACTTATTTGTGGCTAAGAAGGCATTAATTTTGTGTTGAAGGACAATTTACAAAAGCAATAACAAAGTAAAAAAAAATAAATGATTTACTGAAGCGGTTAGTAGACTCTTTAGACGAGTGAGCAATGCTTTGCTATGAGATCTGATATTTGAATATTTAGTTTTCTTAAAACGCGCAGATTATTTTAACTTTTTGAATGACGAATGAAAATATCATGACAAAAATTTTGAAATATAAAAAATGTTATGACATAAATAACAGATATACCATATTTAATTATATTTGAATATTTAACTGCTAAAAGATTACTATTTTTGCTCTAGTCTAATTTTGCTTCAAATAATTGGCTAATAAAATCTGACAATTAGATAAATTTCTATGATCGAAGAAAATATACCCACTCATTATAGTTCGTATACATATGGATATTAGAAAAATATTCTAATTTCATCACTTTTAATATTTTTTCAACTGGTGCCATAGTAACTAGTTGCGGACTAGTTCACTTATGAAAATATTTACTGTTATTTTATTACAATATACACAATTTAAAAGTATTGTACGAAATTATCAGACCAAAAATGGAATCTATTAACAACTAGTGGAAACGTTACCAGCTTTAGACCAATTCAAAAGTCTTAAAATTTTCTACATGGCGCTCTATTATTGAATGTCTACTTATATTGGAAGTAGTGTTATATGTAGCGGTACTGGGGTGCTGTGCGCAGATTTTGTTTTTCATTTTAGATTTTTAATTAATTTTTTGCATAAATCTTTATAAGAGGAGAATACGATATTAATTACGTAGGTGCGGGTATGATTGGTTGATCTAAGCCTCCAATGAAAATACATCACTTTTAAATGAAAAAAGGAATTTATTGTAAAAGCAAATCGAAGAAATACTAACAGTTTATTTATTTAAATGCTAAGCTGTTTATTGCAGCTAGTAGCTGCTTAGCTTTTAGAATCTTGATAAATAATTAAAATAGTTGTATACATATGTAAGTGAATACTCTAAAATTAAAATGTAAAAAATATAGGTATGCCATAATAATCAATGTTTTGCAATTTTTCCTATTTTTATGTCATACCATAGTTGTTATGCAACAACTGGTACGCCATAGATATCATGGCATACATATGTATATCATGAGATAATACTTTACGAAACATTTTCTAATTCTTATATTATATTATAAGCCTTACGCAATAATTGACAAGACAGAAATTTTATGACATAAGTATTGTGAGACAATTTTTACTCCATTTTTTTTAACTTTGATGCAAAATTGTTCTAAATTTCTTATGTCCTACCATATATTATGTAGTAAACGGTGTGACATAAATGTTTTGATGCGAAGTTATTTTTTAAATTCTTATGGCATACCATAAGTACTGTGTAATAATTGGTCAGACATAAATATCATGATACAAATATTATGAAACATTTTTTTCCAAATTTTAAGTGAAATTGTTTTTTAATTTGTCATGTAATACCAGAAATATAACTGGTAAGTCATAAATGTCATGACATAAATATTATGGCATAATTTTTTTCTCAAATGTTTTTCTAAATTTCGATAACAGTTTGTTTGCATGTCAAAACCACCAACTGTGGTCAATTAGATTAGCTAAATTTAAGCTAGGCTTAAATAAATTCCTTATATAGCTCCAAATTGATATAGATTTCCCATATAAAGCAAAACTAAATTGGTTAAAAGTACTTTTTACATACATTTGCCAATATTATACATGAATATAAATATATACATATATAACATATGTATGTATAAAGCATAGCATTAGTAAATATGATAAAATGATCTCATGTAAGCATTCATAATCGCTTTAATGCTTACCATAGTTTACTTAATCGCCCACACTGCCAATCTCTGCCTTAGCTGTTCTTGATCTGATTGTGCCAACAGTATTAGTTCCACTCATTGCCCAATCAGGAAGCATGACAAAATAGATTTAGCTCGCCGCTTGCTTTCCAGCGCAAAATGCCAAGTGAAAATGAAAGCAAATTGCAAGAAATGGCCCTGAGCTTGCCATTTGATCGTGATCATATTGAACGCGAGCACATATACATACATATGTATATATTTCTTTTGTTATTTTTACTTTATTTGTCATATTGTTTTTGTTTTGTGGCTTGAATATACTGTAATTTACTTCACTCTTTAGCACTTCAACAAGTTGGCAAGACAGCGCGACCCACACCCATTCGCCATCATTAGAAGTGGAGGGAATAAATCTCAAAAAATAACAATAAAGTTAATAAGCAAAACATACACACGCCCCATAATTGCTAGGGAAAAACAATAAACAGCTTAACTCAAGTGGTAACAGAGTATTGTCGCTATCATTTATCAACTATTGCCTTACAACACTGTGTTGAAAAACTATGGGTACAGCAATAAAAATATATAGTAGGGCATAAAAAGCAAGAACCATATATTTTTTCAGTAAGACTAAGGGGTTTCGTAGATCCTAAAAACAAAGACTGGGTCATTGACATTAAAATTTTTTTAAAAATTGCATGTCACATCGAGGGAACATTCAGGGTCTCGTACTTGGTGGTAATAGAACGTTAATAAAGTTAAAATTTTATTTATTCAAATGAGTTCCAATGATCTGATAATTCCGAACTATATGACCTTCCGCGAATATTTACGAAAGGCCTTATTATAATAGAATTGAAAGCGGTGAGATAACCAGCCTTTCTTCTCTCTGGCTTTTTCATACATTCCATACATATTTTTGGTCAGGAATATATGTACTATATAACCTAACCTACTACTAATCTCCGAATCGAAATAAGTTCTCATCTAGAATTTGTTAGCGGTTTATGATCCACTAAAAATTTAAAAAGCTAATGACATCACCCAAAAAACTAGAAACCTCGGTCGAACAACTAGCGAACTCTTCAGTACTGGTTTAAAGTCTAAGACACGAGCATTTGTATCATTAAGGTAATGCAATATTGAATTTGACTCGATATAATTTATACCAAATAAGCTATTATAGAAACACCGAGTAAGATGCACAAACTTTGAGAATTTCTGAACTCCCACATTGATATTTTTTTTCAAGGTCTTTGAGAAAGTTTAACTAGAGTAGGGTATATGAGCCCATAAGTCGCTTGAAAACAGCTGTTTCATAATTTTTCACCATGTGTTTCATCTAATTAAGTAGATTTTTAATGCCTTCAGCTGCTCCAGTTCGCAATCTCCACAACTAGTTTGCCTACAACTGCTTAGTTACTAAAGACACTGTGTACACTTAGTCAAGTGGATTAACTTAAATGTCCATTAGTAGCGATTTAAAGCACTCTAACACGTGCTGCCACAACAATAGCCAGCACAACTACGCCCTCAGTCGCCACATTGACTGCCGACTTTGGATAGTCAGCCGCGCGCTTAATCAGTGGGCGTCCTTTTCCGGTGTGAACACAGCATTATTCATGCCAAAGCAATAGCAACAGCAATGCTAAAATACTCACCCCTAGCGGTCAAGTAGTCCACCGTCCATTTTTGGTCAAGCGACTCAACGGCTTTTGAATTTGTCGAACAATCACCGCGTTAAGTACGGCTTAAGCTCATTCACAGTTCAACAGCTCGAGTTTGATTGCACGTAAACTATAAAGTTTACAGCAGCAAAGCTTGCTGAGCTGACGCTTATTCACTTTTGAGCCCTGAATGAACCCACGCAACTCTTGGGTCACACCATTTTCAGTTCGGACATGAAAAATTATTTTTGCCGAAATTTTTAATTGAAAACCGATAGTTTATGCTGATGCTTTTCTAATTATACGCAGTTATAGTAAACTAAAAACAAAACATGCACAAATTTGGTTGCAACTTCTGATTTTTAATTAATTTGTTTTTGTTACTGTTTCCTTTTCAGATGGTACACTATGTCTCGGCATCAGCGTTGACCTCACAAAATAGCTTGGCAGTGCAAAATCACCAGCAACTCACATTTGGTCAGCTGCTGCGCGCCGCCGGTAATATGGGTGACATCAGAGATTGTCCGGTAAGTGGCGCCTAATAAATTGCTTCCCCCGTCATATTACCAAATATTCGCATTTGCTAAACCCGTTTCTCGTCATTTTCTAGAATGCTTGTGGCGCTAAGATCGGCATCTGTCGTGCGTTGCTCAATCGACCGGATGTCGTTTCGATTGGCATCGTGTGGGACTCGGAACGTCCTGCCGCCGATCAAGTACATGCTGTACTCAAGGCCATCGGCACCAGTTTACGTCTGTCGGACGTCTTCCATCAAGTCGCCGAACATCGTTGGGCACAAAACGTGCAACATGAGTTGGTCGGCATTGTCTCGTATTACGGTAAACACTATACAACCTTCTTCTTCCACACCAAACTCAAGGTTTGGGTGTACTTCGATGATGCAAATGTCAAGGAGGTAAGTGTGACACATTTGCTACATAAGCCGATAATCTAACTAAAAGTAACTACTTCTTAGGTCGGTCCCAACTGGGAAGGCGTCGTCGACAAATGCAGTCGCGGTCGCTATCAACCGCTGTTGCTGCTCTACGCTGTGCCACAGCCACCTTCGGGCGGCACACAATTCGCGCCGGAGACCACACAATCCACGCTTGTACGTCGCGCCATAACGCCGAGCCCCATCACGCCGGATAAACCGAACCTGGGCAATACACGTCGTGCCATCACACCAACACCATTACGCTCGCCCAACGACTATCAGAATTTGAGTGTTATACAAAAGAACATCTTTGCTGGTGCTGCTGTGGTTGCAACCAAGAACAACAACACAAATACCGGCAACAACACCACCAATGATGAAACAGATGCTTATATACGCCGCAAGACGGTGGAGCACGTGCTGAATGCACAGCAATATCAGAATTTGAGCGTTGTGCAGGATAAGATCTTCGCCAACAATAACGGTAATGTTACGAATACCCAAACAGCCGATGAGAAGGATGGCGATATATTGGCACACAAGATCGGCAAAGTACTTAATGCGCAGATGGTGCGCAAATATCATCTGCAGCTACAACGCAGTCAAAGCGCTGAGTCGGGACATGTTAGCGGTGGCTCTTCGAATGGCTCATCACCGCCCAGTGATGGTCTGACTATGCCAGATCATTTGAATCAACCGAGACGTCGCGATTCGGGCAACTGGTCGGGTGACCGCAATAGCGCAAGCTCTGCCTCATCCACCACGCTAGATAATCCCTATCTCTATATGGTGGGCAAACGTAATCCACCCGCAGTGCCACAAAGTCCGACACGCAATGGTTTACCATACGATCCCGGTTATGATTCGTTTTCGTTGAGCTCAACTGATTCGTATCCACCGAAACATCATTTGAATCCACAACTGGCGAAGATACCCGAAGCTGCCGCTTCAACTATACTCTCGGGTGATTGCGAAAAGCTGTGTCACGAGGCCGATCAGCTATTGGAGAAATCGCGTCTCGTCGAGGAGTCACACGATTTGGAGACCGCATTGGTACTCTGTAATGCCGCTGCCGGACGTGCACGCGCCGCCATGGATGCGCCCTACAGCAATCCACACACCATGACATTCGCACGCATGAAACACAACACATGCGTAATGCGTGCACGCAGCTTACATCGTCGCATATTGGTAGAGAAGGGCGCCGATATGGATGCCATGCCAGAGATGAAGCATATGCGTGAGGGCAGCAACAGCAGCGTGAAACATGTGCGTCAAAATAGCAAGGATAAGACTTTGGATAAGCTGCCGACCCCGGCAAATGCAAATGCCGCCAATGCGGCAACCGCTGCAGCCAACAAAAGCATCGAGATCTATGCAACGCTGCCGAAAAAGAAGAGTCCACTGAAGGCACTAGCAGCCGCTGTGGGCAACGATGACAATGCCATCGAGTACGAGCCAGCCGCACCTGTTGTTGCGAAGCCGGAGCGTGAGAGTCGCTCAATCTTCGGCCGTAGTAGCAGTAAATCGGAGAAGGAGAAGCGCAGTCGCAGTGAAGATCGCAATAAGCTGACGCGTGAGTTCTCATTGACGGAAACTTTGTTGGTAAACGCCAAGGATACGCTGAAGAAGCACAAAGAGGACAAGGATGAGAAGAAGGAGAAAGATAAAAATGGCAAAAAGCAGCATAAGATACGACGCAAACTCTTAATGGGTGGACTCATAAGACGAAAAAACCGCTCTATGCCTGATTTGACCGAAGCTGGCGATGATGCCGCCAATCAGAAGGAGGCGCCCGCACCGCTCGCCACTTCAGTGGACGACAGCTCAGTCGGTTTGAATGGCAAGAATGGCATGAGCGGCTATATTTCCGAGGGTCACTTCGACTATCGTGACTCGAATAATGCAAATCCGAATTTAGAGCGCAGCAAATTGATGCGTAAGAGCTTCCACGGTAGCGGACGTCAATTGACTGTGGTCGCTAAGGTAGCGCCACCACCGCCCATGCGCACAAGCTCAGCGCTAACACCACAGCAATTGCAGCAACAGCTGGCACTACAACAACAGCAAGACGCTGCGGTGTTGCAACATTTCCATCACGAAGCGAATCTCTCCAATGTTTCGGTTATGAGCTCCAACACGTCCATCAGCGAAGACTCATGCCAGACCATTATCACAACGTGCGCGCAGGTGCACAACGAACAGAGTCCGCTGAAGGACAGCTTGTATCAGACAACAAATGGTGTGCCACAATATCAACACTATAACGGTTATAGCGCCACACCAGTCGATTTGGGTCGAGATGAAGTCGATGTACCAACAGGCAACGCCAACGGTACTGCTAACGGCAACGTTAACACCAACGCTGGCAGTAATACAGCCGATGCACCACTCGAACTACCGCCATACCCGAGCCCCCCGCAATCGGTCTGCCATTCGCGTCAAGCCAGCGAGGATTTCCCACCACCACCGCCGGAGATCGATCTTGAGCCGCTGAACCACCAGATCAGCCAACTGCAAGTACTCGAAGCAAATAAACAGCAGCGCAGCATGGAGACGCTTGAGGGCACCACCAGCATTTTGGCACAATTGCAGCAGCGTCACCAGCTCATGAAGTTGCGCAAAGAGCAGGCAACACCCACTTGTGAACCCACAAATTGGCTGAAAGAGTTACAGGCCAAGCAAACCGATCTCAGAAATGCCCAACAGCGTGCTACCACAGACTCGCCAATCGTACAGCTGACGCAGCAGTCGTCCAATGGCGTACGAGAATTGGCGAACCGTTTCGAACAAACGAAAGCAACCAGTGCAGGTGAACAACCACCGCTACGTTCATACTCGTCACAAGAGTTGCTTAACCCTGGCAGCAAGCCCACGATACGTACACAAATGAATGGGCTACCGCCAGCGCCGCTCGCGCACAAGAGCGAATCGGATGAAGTGGATTGCGCGCCGCAGCGCTTGCAACGTCTGCCTCCACACCAGGTGCTGCCAAAGCCCAAATACGAAGTGCCACAATCGCAAATCGCCGAAGAACTGCGCGAAGTTGAGATGCTCAACACAATGGTGCAGCAAACGCTGAGCAATGCGCAGGTGGCGCAACAGCAACAACAACAGCTGCAACAACCACAGCAAGGCGCGCAACAGAGCAGCGCGGCCGCAGCCACCGCGTTGCCGAAGCGCGTCAAGAAGAAGAGCGTTTCATTCTGCGATCAAGTCATACTTGTGGCGACGGCAGACAATGAGGAGGACGACGACTTCATACCGAATCCGATTTTGGAGCGTGTTTTGCGCACGGCGCAAAATCCCAACGAGAAGGTAACCGCGCACCTCATACAACAACAACAGCAAAATATGATACGCTTGCCGACGGAAGCGCCATCGCGCATTGTGCAACCACTGCCACCAGCGGTGCAACAACAACAGCAACAGCATCAACCACAACAACATCATGCGCAACAACAACTGTCGGCGTCGCTACCATTGGCGCAGCCGTCGCCAATGTTGGGCAACGATCGCCGCCCCTCGCCGCTGCAGGGTCAAGATATGCAACGCTACGTGCAAGTGCAACGCCCACAGCTCGAAGCGCTGCGCCAACAGCAGCAGCAAATTCAACAACAGCAGCAGCAGGAGCAGCGCCAACAGCAACAATCCGCTATGCCATATATGCCAGCGGGACAAGTGTACACGCCCATGCAGGACATCTATCGCATGCAGCACCAGCAACAACAACAACAGCAACAGCAGCCACAGCCACAGTATGCAACGCAGTTGACGTCAGCGCATCAGCAACACGCACTGTACGAAGAGCGCATGCATGCCAACAACAACAGCAGCAACAACAATCACGCGTTGCTTGCCGCGCGCACGAGCATGAGCGGCATCGCTAATGTTGCCACGCAGCAACATATGCAGATGTTAGCAGCTCAACAACAGCAGCAGCAACAACAACAACAGCAACACTTGGATGCACAATCCAGTTACGTGAGCATACCGCGCTCACACGCCAACCATCAACAGCAAAGCTACTCCGTGCAACTACAGAAGCACCAGCAGCTCTTGCAACAACACCAACAGCAACAATTGCCAACCAGCAACGGCTACTATCCCGGCGTGCCAGGTTTGGACACCGTACCGCTACCATCACCCTACCAGCGTGTACCCCTGCCACACGGCTATGGCAGCGAACAATTCCCACCGCCTTCCCTCAACAATATGCCGAAACCTCAGCATCCCTACCCCTCACCCAACACAGCCACACACCTTACCAATGGGACGCCCTCACCCTACTTCCCCGTGCCGCAAAATGCCGCCGTCGCGCTAGCCAACGCACAGCCGCCGCACACGAAGGCATCGCACCAGAAGAAGGTCAGTTTCGAGCCCGGCACGAAAGGCGAAACGGACTCGCTCTGCAACGGCAGCAACAATCACAACAGCAACGCCAGTAATATGTCAGCAGCATTACCACCAAAACCGTTGGGTCTCAGCGCCGCCACAGCCAATAATAGCTCCGCTGCCTCGCAACAGAACGGTCTGCCGCCGCCAGTGCTGTTGGACAGCAGCGTCAATGTGACGGCCATACCGACACGCGTTTACAACAACGCCATTGTCAAGGCATCCGCCAAAGCGGTGGAGTGCAATCTGTGTCGAAAGCGTCACATCATCGCGCCCGCCGTCTACTGCACCAACTGCGAATACTACCTGCAGATGTTGAACAGTCGGCGATGAAACGCGCGCGCCATGAAGTAACGCGTTGGCCAGCGCGCGCTCAGCGCCATGCGTTTTGAGCGCGGCGCTGTTAATAAGCAATTATCGCTGTGCGAATTTAGTTTTGCATTTCACTAGCGTTAAGCATTCACATTGCTCATTAATCATAATCATAGAACTTAGTGCTAAAATAATTCGTAAAATAGTTGTAAAATTAGACTTTAAATGAAAATATGGAATCTCAAGCAAAGCTGCCTTACATTGCAGTTCAAGTGCAATTTGTTAGGAAATAAATGAAGAAGCTTGTTGCAGACATTAATGCAGGTAAGTATTAACTCACACTTACAAGAGCTTACAAATTTAGTTATAGTGCATACACACATACATATAAATACTTTAAACTGTGGCCTTTGAAGTATCACATGCTGTTTATTGGCGCAACCCTTTCAATTCTAACCTCAAAAATTAAATAAAATAAAAAAATGCATGCAATTCCTTTATGGTTCTACATAAAGAACAATTGGCATATAGGCATAAATATATCTGAAATCTTAAATATATAAACAACAACGAAAATTCGCTTTAAAAACTGAATTTTATAAAAGCTTTTAGTCCTTGACTATCAAAAGAAAATGCATAACTCTTCCACTTCGTTTAACAATTTAGTTAGTGCTTGTATATTACATACACGCACACATTTATGTTTTTAATTATTACACATATACATAGAAACGTACATGCATTTAAAAATAAAATTCATGAAAATCTCATAAATTAAAAACATTTATAATTATACTTATATATATATACATACATACAATTATTTGATATACTTATGCATACATATCTACGTTTAAATAAATATTTTTAAAATTAATTCGTAATCGCTTGTTTGTGTGCGTGCGGCTGTCGAGCGGCCCCTACACCGGCATTCGTTTGCCTTTCACAAATTAGTTTTACTTTATTTTTACCCTTAAATGCTATTTTTACTTAATTATACATAATTTTATAATATTTGCTAATTATTTTTATTATTATACATTATTATTATACATACATATTTTTATAGTTTCCACATCCATAAGTTTTATAATGTTTTTTCCAAACAGAAAAAAATGAGCAGACGAAAAAAACCGATACCGCAGCAAAGCAACAACAATAATTTGCCTAATAAATCAATAAATAAATAATATCTTTTTTACAGATACAAAAAATATATATCTTTTTACTCAACAAGCCAAAAATAATATTTAAGAACTGCTTTTAAGATTTGTTTCTAAAAACGTTTTGAGTGAGGCAAGTAGCTTAGTACTTTTACATTTATTAAGCTCTAGCGCTAGTTTTTTTTTTTTTTTTTTTTTTTTTTTTTTTTTTTTTTTTTTTTTTTTTTTTTTTTTTTTTTTTTTTTTTGTTATTGCTAGAATTTAAGAGTTTTGCCTTAAATATAAAATATATTCCTTTCTAGAAATTCTTACAGAAGTGTCTGTAAACTTTAGCATCTGTCACTCCTCCAATACTAAGCTCTGTTGTACACTTTCTGAACTATAGAGCACCATCTGACCTGTAATATACTATCTGATCAAATTTAACCCGGACTGTGGTATATTATAGTCATTATTGCTTCAAAATTAATGTCTCAATTAGCCTTCACCATTCGTTGCTGGGATTTTTTAAAAAGATCATTCTCTCAAGGTCTGAGAACAGTAAACAGTTTTTGGAATTTAGGTCAGTAGAAGAATATGGCACCAATTCAAAGCAAAATCTTTCTTTTTTTGGATGAGAGAATATGTAAATCATTCTCACTAATTAGTTTCTATGAGGTTTGCTTCCGTGTGATAGGTGTCCTGACAACTAGACTGTTTCCCTTTCAGATTCACGCGGTGAGGCTAAAGGACGCAACTTGTCAAGTGCTGGAAACATCTAGACACTTTCACTTCCATTGTCCGGCTTTCGCCAGATTAAGCTGTAGCATTTCGGTGCCCATACCTTTTACTAACCCGACGGGAATTGGTATTGACCTCTTCAATAAATTTGTGGCAAGCTCTAAGCATTTTTTCGATATGTGGCGATCGTTTTGATCCAAACTTAGGAGTTTCTGGGCATCACAACGAACAAGCGTCGCTAGCAGTCCAAGTGGGTTTATGCGTTGTTTTACTAAAAATCAGCCTAATAACTTACCCCTACCTAACCTCGAATTAATTCTAAGTTCTTTCAAACCAAAAACTTCCCAAATCTAAAAATTCTGTTCAAGCTCCCAAATACCGGAAATGTGGACTCCAGTTCATATGGTTGACTTTTGACTGAAAATATTGATCCATGTAAGGGATATAGAATTGAAATTCAAAGAGAATCTCTCTCTGGTGTCAAAAATTGGTTGAATCGGGTCAATATGGAGGCTAGATCAAGTTTTCGGCCTAATATAAAAGTTTTCGACATTCCAGGTGACTTTATACTTAGAGAGCGTGCTCTACTCATAACAGTGTATCTTTGTCCCTAAAATAGATACAATTGGCCGAAAACTTCATATAGCCCCCATATAACTAATATCAGGATTTTCGAACAACGGACTGACTTTACTCCATATGATTGGTGTTTCTACCTTAATGAAGCCCAGAGAACATATTTTTCGTAGGTGGCATATTTATACTTAGTATGTTACTGGTAGATAAAATCGAGTTAATACTACTCGCAACTGCCATATTATCTTGAAAGAATTCCTCGGACTTTGATTGCTAGTTGCAAGAATATAAAATATTCGGTTGCACCCGAATTTCACGCTTACTTACTTGTTTATTCATTATCATTTATTAGTCGCTATTATTCAGCTACCTTTTATATACATCCTAGAAGTATGCAACATATTTTTGAATGGATAAAGTAGCAAAATGAAGTCGATAAAGCGGTTCCCATTTAAAATAAAAAAGCAATAGGCAAAAAAAAAATACAAAAAAATGCGGAAGTGTTGTAGCTAACAACATTTTTGTTGTTTACATTAATATGTGAATAGTATTCGTTACTTCTAAACCGAATTAAAAAAAGAATATTTTTAAAGCAAAACTCATTTAACGATTTAAAACATTTTTTATTTATTGACGCGCAAACTAAAAATGGGCAAATGATGGCATATTAAACCAGTATGTATAAGTACGTATGTTTATGTGTTGCCTACAGATAGCGCTTGAACAGTAAATTTGAAATTTTGAAACTCTAATGCTGACATAAATCATTAGCCTTAAGAATTCAGACATCACAGACATTCAATGCAATTTCCTCATTGTGTTCAAATAAAGATAGGAGAACAGACATTCGCTTAAATGATTGCTTATGTGACTGCAAATACATACGTACATATGTATGTGTGCCTGTGCGTATATAAATAAAGTGATTAAAGTTAAAGTGTAAAACTTCACTGGAGGTCATTTCGCCGGCGTACGTGATAAAAGCGACATATGCACTTTGTACCGTTCTCATATACACATACCTACTTTACAGACATAACTGCATGCATACATACAGACAGCTGTGCAAGTACATATGCCCATAAATGTATGCGCATAGTTGGTGCAATTTTCCGACTGTATCACGTGTATGTGACGTGACTTTTCTATCGTAACGCTGCCGAAAGCAAACTTATGCCAAAAACAGTACACAACAACAACAGCAAAAAGAAGCATGAGCACATTGTACATATCTATGACCCAATTTATGCTTCCACCACAAAGCAAATGCTCATACAATTGGCCAGTCTCGCTCTCCCATGTGATGTTTATGTTTTTTGTTTACTTTTGAGAGTCGTCGATGGCGGCCGACGGCCAACCGTACACAGCCAGCCACCTAGCCCACTACAAGTCGAGTGCGTATACATATGCTCGTATAATTGAAGTTCTCTGAAATGTTTCACTGTAGCGTGCTATTACGCACGTGAATTTGTTTTTGCTTTACTCCATACGACCAACACGATGGGGAGCGCGATAATAGCAAAATCTACATACATTTATACAGATACTGAGTGCGGAGGGAGGTTAATGTACTCATAACTTATGTACCGAACAGTTGTATTTTTAAGCATGAAGAGTATTAGAAATAGGACTTTTTAATGGTATTATATATTTATAAATATAAGTGGGTTTCATGAACATTTTTTGCGAATATTTATAATCGTAAACTCATTCTTCCATCAGCTCTATGAAAAGTGGTATGAAAATGTTGATACTAAATTGAAGCCCTTTCAATTGACAAAAAGTTCAAAAACATATTCCTAAATTGTTTTTATTACTAAATTCATTCCTTAATTATTAAATTAAGTTTTAGTCGAGTAAGTTCATTTGTTTCAGATGTAGAATACCAATTTCAGTACTATAAATTCCTTAAAGATTAAAGAAAAGAATTTGTTTTTTTTTTTAATTTCTATGCCCGTTTTCAAATTTG